TGTATATAAATATGTATTTTCAAAGTAAAATGTGTTACTCTATACTTTGAGGACATTCTTCCATTTTATTTGGGTTCTAAGGTGGTTTTAAATTAAGTAGGTTCATGGTTTTATAGTCTTTGGGACAATTTAAATATGAAAATTTCATATCTGTGAATAAAAAGAAAACTGCAAAACAAAAATTTAAGTTCAAGTTTATGAGTTTACTTATATATGGTGTAAGAAATGAAAGGGGAACATCCAAATATTTTTCCTATGTTGAATTTTTGGATGACATACTGAACACTGAAGGCTTAGATGGTTAGACAATAGCACTAAGGAGTTAAAATAAATTGCTGTAAAAAAAATAAATAAAAAAATTTTAAAAAATAATAAAAAAGAAACCTTTGTAAAACAAATGCCAGCAAATAGTATAACATATTAATGAGTATTTTCATGAATATTTGTTCAATGGAAAAATATAAAAATTAAATCTATCCCAAATGAAAACAGCAAGTTTCTTGTGACAAATTATGATCTGATTGTATTGCTTGAATACATTTGATTTGTCAATAAGTCCGTACACTAAGGATGAAAATGGCATTTTAGATAACAAATGATTAATTAAAAAAGAAAAAAAAACAACATTCTTCCTTGTCAATGCATTTAATCTGTTTCTCCATTAATCACAGATCAAGCATTATCCAGTGAAAATTCCAGATCAATATTTCAGCTAATAACTACGTGTCGGGCTATGGACATATTGACCCACTTATATATAATATCAGTGAGCCCATAGTGTAATCACGGGTAGGGGGAAGCATTTATATTTTACACAGCAAATATTTTTCAATATAATCTTCGTCACTGCACTTAATTCATTTGTGAATATTAATCACGTAGTTCAAACATTATACTGTGAAAATTTCAAATCAAAATTTTGCTAATAACTACGTGTCGGGCTACGGACTTATTGATCCACCAATGTAGAACTGAATAATGAAATAACGATTTGTTTTTTATGCGGCATTCTTTTGTTTCCATAGATTTGAATACATAAAATACTTCACATGCAACTATAGCATGTGTAATAGTTAGCAATGTGTAAGTAATAAAATTGGAACCAGAACCTTCCTTAGTAGTAAGAAGATATCATTTATTCTCCACTATCAGCAGCACACATGTAGAAACAATAGTTTGCGTGAAAGGGCAAATAAGAGAAAAGCAAACAAAAAATTCATGAAAATATTTCACATAATTCATCATTACTACTATTTTTTTTTTTTTTTTTTTTTTTTTAAACAACCTTTTCCTGAGATGAACTGCCTTGCCATATGTGTTTTGACACTGAAGTCGCCATTTTATGGTAAAAATCCTGTCAGTTTATGCAAGAAGTTATTGGAACATTTTATTCCAATATATTAACAATGCACACACACTTTACAAAAAATTCATACAAAATGTTGTAATTTCAGAAAAAAAAAAACTCTACATTTACATGTAGACCTAAATTAGGCACAGTAAAAGATGACACATGTACATCTCTAATGAGTTTCTTCAAACTAGAACAAATTAAGTGTAACTGGTGCAAATGATAGAAAAGGGGAGGAAGAAAGAGGTTTTAGAAAATGAAGTATTATCAAATGAAAGAATTAAATATGGTATGTTTTAAGAGATAAGAATCAAATAGTCTGGTATAAAATCTGACATTTATTCAATTTTTTATATTTTGCACAGCACTGTCATTCTTCATTGGTAAATGATTTATTTTATTGAAAGACTCAAGATTGTTATTTTTTTGTTTTTATAAGTTCCTTCTAAAGTTGCTAGAGTAGTCTGTGCGCTTTTTAAATATCATTTCTTGAGAATATAATGTAAATATTCAAATCTGTTTCTATCTTGCATGTTGATCTTCCCAATAGTTTAAAGATTTTTTTTTTTTTAAGATCATTAACCATTGTATTGTATCAACACATTTTTGCAATTTTTTTTTTGTTTTCTCTTTTTAGAAAGGATTCATTTTTCTGCTATTATCAGTTTTGTAAGACATGCATAACTGTCATGGACACCAGTTTGCATTATAATTAAAAGTACTGAAAATTGTAGTCATTTAGGTTCTTTTTAAGGACTTGACATATGCATCAGTTCAACAATAATATCCTGAGTAGTGCCCATCTCATAAGTTGTACAGTCAAAATTCTGGCTTAGAATGAAGAGGTGGGCATATATATATATATATATATATATATAAAATTAAAAATAGGAAGGAGAAAGATAAGGAAGGAGTGGAGGTTGCATCTTTAAAATGAGAATTTATATAGAATGTTGTTAATCATAGTTTAAAGACAGAATTAATTTTCTGGACACAGAGAGAGGCCTATTCATAAAAGGGTAGGTTACTGTTAAAAATAAGCTCAGCCCTACAAAGTGAGTGATTGTAAGCATTCATTAAAAAAAAAAATACATTCAAGAAATCTTGAGAGATAAGGATAAAAGAAGAATGAGAATTTAAAACAAAGGAATTTTTTTTATTGTAATTATCATAATAGCTACGTCAATAAATATAAACTTCTGATACAGAATATCTGTAGAAATAATTTTCAATGTCTTTTCTTTTCACCATTTGGTGCTGTCCTTGCACTAAAAAAAAAAAAAAGTTGGGGGTCAGAATTGGTAGATTCCTTCTCTGATGCTGGGTAAGAATGATTATTCCATTGCACACCAACCTAGAAGGAAAACTGATTTCTTATATATATAAAGTAGCAGATTTACACCTGCTCCACAACCTGAAACACACTTCCCATTAATTTTTCATTTCTTTCTTTCTCTCATACAAAACATTCATGTGACTAAGTATTTCTCTTATTATTTACATATGTGTCTATATATATATATCCATATATGTGCATGTACATACATTCATACATAGGAGTGTACATACACACACACACACACACACACACACACACACACACACACAAATAAGTATTTTAAAAAAAAAAAAAAAAAAAAGAAGCCAAGCAATATATATTCTTAACTTTCTTGCTGCCACTAATTTTGCAAGGTGCTATTAAATAGATAGATATTTTGGGGTGTTTAAATTTGTGAATAAATGTATTAGTTGGTTTAGTCTATGTGCCCTTATGCATGCTTAGTTACCAATATTGTACATAATGTTTTTCTTATTAGTTTTACATACTGACTAAATATAATAATTAAAGGAAAAGTTTTTTTTTTTTTTTGTTGCAAACAAATTTTTCTAGTTATGATTTTAAATAAAAAAAATAATAATAATTTACATATTTATGAGATTAGTATGTATGTATGTATGTATGCATTAGGATGTATGTATATAAGAACTTATAAATAGTACCAAAGCTTACACTAATTAAGTAGCATATGCATCAAAAATTAAAATAAGAAGTGTTATTTGTTTTATCCACTTCCTATTAATTACCTAAATCTTTAGTGTATGTCTTGTGTCATAAGCAACCAACCTTTTTAAACACATGGACAACTGGCAAGGTTTCATCTTTTTTTTTTTTTTTTTTTTTTTTTTTTTAAATAGTTAAATTTTTCATAAAATAATAAAAACAAGAATTTAACTTTCAAGAATTGTTCTTTGTTGGAAATATTTCATGGGAAAGAGAATTAAAAAAAAAAAAAAAATTGTACTGTTTTTTTGGTTTTTTTTTGGTTTTTTTTTCACATTTTAAAAAAAAATTGCAAGTTTAATTTTTAATCTTTTTATAGCAAAAACAAACTTTAAAATTTTATTTTATTATTTTTTTTTTTTTTTTTTTTTTTTTATTTTTTTTTTTAAATTTAATTTTTACCCGGTTTTGTTGGCAGGGGAACCATCACTGTTTTTTGACTGTCTTTATAACATTTTGAACATAAGGAATTTCTATCAAGACTCCCATAGAATTCGCAACCTTCAGTTAAGCAATGTATAGGAGTGTTGCATTCTGTTTCCAACTTTGACAAGGACGCTATGCTAGCTTGGCTTATGGGATCCACTTGGGGGAACTGCGCTAGGGGCTCTATCTGGCTCAAGTCATTTTTCGTATAGTTCAGATACTCCACGTTGTCATAGTCAGGAGATGGTGTGCGACAGCAGACGCGACTGTTGTTGGTTGGCATTATCATGCCGCATTCATTGAGAGCAATGCGAGTATGAGATGAAGAAGTAGAAAGATCCGCTGATGAGGAGATGGTAGCACTAACACTGCCATCTACACCAGAGGATGTTGCCATTGACAAATGTCTCATCTCCTCCAGCTCAGTGCCCACATCTGGCCTATCTTGACTGCTGTTTGTCAGGAACTCGAGTGATGAGGGTCTCTGTTTGCCAAAAACTGCTGGCAATGTCTGAGACCCAGACTGCTCAAGCACACTCCTCGTTACCATGCCAACAGCGGCAGTAGCATCTGTGTTACTGCTTTTCTCCATGGCGCTAGTGGTTGTATAAAATTTTGACTTCCCACATGTCTGTACACCCGAAGGCAACACTGGTGATGAGTCTGTCCGTTTGCCATGACATGGGTATGTGTTGTATACTCCACCAATCTGACCTTTACTCTTTTCTTGATTTAGAGCCTGCTGCTTCTGTTGAGAGAAACATTTTGAACATAGGTAAGATGTCTCTGGTGTGCCATACATATTACAACCTGAAGTGACACATTTGGTTGGTGGGCCAACACGTTCTCCACGGTTTATGCCACACCGTCCAAGGGGTTCCTCACCTCGCTTGCGTCGACTCTCTACTTCTTTCTCAAACCTCTTATTGGCATTGAACAAATAGTTGCGAATCAATTCTTTCTGGACAGCAGTTTTATTGGTGGACAGTCGAGCACAAAGAACTTTGTCACGTTCAAGTAACATTGCTATACTGATGGTCAGTTTGGTGCTCTGGGTGACCCCACCCCCAACACATGTTGGACGACTCAACTTCTCGCTTATCTCAGGGGGTAGCGGCTTGCCAGGTTTTCCAATGCTAAAGTTTTTTTTCAGTTTCTTACCCATTGTCTTGCTAATGCTTCCAAATTGCTTAGCCACTGTTTGCATTTGTTGGCTCATCCGCTTCTCCCGGGGATCTTTCTTTTTCTCTTTCACACTACTGCTCACACTGCTAACGATGGTGGCACTACCACCACCGCTACTACCACCACCACCACCACCACAGCTGCTCACATCACTCTGGTCTGATTCATAAGAACCACAGGATTTCTGGTCAACTCCTTCAGCATCCTCCAATTCAATTGGATGAGTGATAGGCAATCGCTCCAGCTCGAGATAACGCTGTAACATTAATAGTCTTTCGTCAAGTGCTAGTTCCACAGGCTGTAGGTTCTTTTCATGAGCTTTCCAATTTACTTTTTCTCCAGGATCAATTGGGAAATGGATGGGAAGCAAATCAAAGCTGGGATCAACCAATGGGATTGCTGCTGAAAAGAAACAAACGGCAAAATTAAATGACATTTAAAATAGTTTACAGCAATTTAGTTTTAGCACGATTACATTTTTGTTTTTGAAAAAACTATCCCCAACATATCTGCCCACAAATGATCTATTTAATATTAGTGAAAAAGTAGTGTACCTAGGGTAATGGTATTTTTATTCCCCTTTAAATGAACTGGGATGCTGGGATAAATGCTCACCTATTTATTTCATCATTCCTTTCACTTTTTGAAAGTCCTCTTTTGAGGTTCCTATAAGCTGTCTCGTCACATGATATGCAGGCTGACAAACTTAGGTGATGACGCCCCCCCCCTTAAAAGACCAGCCTGAGACTGGCAGCCTTCAGAATGGCAGGATCCCAGATTTTTTGCCCCAATTTCATTAACTGTTGCCTGCATGCATTTCAGAACATGAATTTCTGGCCAAGTTCAAAAGCATCAGAACCAAAATTTTTATCTGGGCTTCACTTACTGAATCATCATTGAAAACCTTCTTAATCATTTGAGTAGTTTCTATGGGTAAATATAAAAAAATCACAAAATACACCATCTTACTCAATGGAGTCTCACTATCAGCTTAGTAACCTTGCTTGTAAATCTTCTGATTGGATGTCAAGTTATATCAAGGTCGTGTAACCTCTTCTTAAAAATGGCTGGATAGTCTCCGGACAGATCTCGTATATGTATTTTTATAAAGCTATCTTATCAAGAAGATAATGACATTTAAATTATTTTAAAAACGATTAAATAAAAAATAACTTAAAAAAAAAAAATGTACGCAGCTTCGCAAAAAGAAAAGAATAAAACCCAAGCGACTTATCAACAGAAAATCAGGGTCGAGGGGAGATAATATAAAGTAGCAATTTTGATTTACTTCCCTTTATGTGTAAATTCATACAAGGTAATAATTTATAAGGAAATAATTTATAAAATGTTTGTGCAAACAAATGTGTAGAATTATTTTTTCTATATCAAATTTTATAAATTCTTATTCTTTAAAATATTTTTATACATTGCTAAAATGGAAGTAGAAGAGTAAAGAATATAGTCTTTTCAAATATTTTTTTTTCTTTTACACCAAAAATATTCAAATTAATAAAATCGATTTTCAGCATTGGTTACTGATTGACAACTGAAAACTTGACAGTAATCACCATGGTAACAACAAATAAGGCTAGAAATGGAAATGAATGCACTTAATCTATGTTAATAAATTTCTGTATAAAATTGTAAGTTGGTAAAAATCTTCAGTAAAAGAATTGCTTTAAAATTTCTATCAACACTATCAATTTTTTTTTTATTTTATTATTTAGATGAACACAATCAACCATTATTAATTTTAGCTAGCATCTATTCTGATCTTAATTTTAATACTACTGTTACTAATATTACTAGTGTAAAATAAAATGATAGTGATGAATTTTAGGTTAAATTTGGACTTCTGCAAAACTGTTAAATTTTTGTAGTTTGGTGAGTATTTGACAGACTACTTTGAGGCAAAAGAAATGTGAGCTTGAATCTCAAATTTATTTCTAATACTATACTGTCTACACATTACCATCGATTGATGGCCTGAATAAAAATTTTGATAAAAGGAAATGCTTAGATTTTCTTAGTCAACAATGTAGCAGTAGGTAAAGAGAGTGATAGTAGGACTCTGGAAACTTCCATTCTACATAAATCAGCAGAGAATATAATGATCATCTTGAAAAATTAGTGCTTCTTGGAAGGTTTCTGCCAACCTCACCAACAAGATGTCATGTGTTGCAAGGTTTCATTTTTCAAGCTTTTAAAATTTAGAAATCTGAAAATATTTTATATTGACTTTTGTTAGATTAACGAAATATTTGTATTCAATAATGAATGGTCTGACTAACACTTTTCAGAAAAGAAGCTCCTGTATTTGAGATAAGAGAGGAAAATAGACCATTTTTGTTAAAAGAAAGAGTAGCTCTACTCTTAAAAACAACTTCCTTCCTGCAAGTGCTATGTGCAATACAGAATCTGTGATGAAGAAAGAATTGCTTAAGTAAATCTGTATACCATCCAATAGGTGAATGATAAAAAGAATTTAAAAAATCTATTTGGGTTATTGATCATAGGACCATGTGATCCATTCATTCCTATCAATCATTAGACTTTAAGTTTCCAATTAGAATTTTTTTCTGAAATGTATAAGTACCTGGATATCCGGTAGGCTTCTCATCATATGGTGAGGCATCAGTTGTCATGGGTACCAGAGCAGAAAAGTGAGCTGCATCGTAGGTCAACAACAATGGCGTGTGGTTCGATGTAAGAAAACTGCATTCCAGTGGTAGATAGATGCCACCAAATGGGATTGGGGCAAGTGCTTCTCCATTTGCATCACGGAGAACAGTGTCAGCTACTACAATGATGGGTCGCTGTAGAACATGGGCCAGCACAAACACATGGAATTCCTCCAAGCTTTCATAAACCACCGGCGATGTGCCTGATGGCGATTTCGAACTGCAATAGTAAGAAAAACTGAATTGTTGCTATAAGAGTACATAAAGTTACATAGTTTCAGATATATATGGAAAAATTCTTCATTACCAAATCCAAGACGGGTGTTCTTGCATGTATAGTATAAATAAAATTGATTCACATGTAAGTTTACTAGCAGATTCATGACTTCTGCACTTTGTTAACCATGTCATAAATAATTAATCACTCTTCATATAAGCAATAGAAATTATGGCAAGAAATCAATTTTCTATAGAAATAGAAAAAAGAATTTTTTAAAATAATTTTCATTTAAATGTAGAAATGCTGATATAATGGTAGAAGCTATTATAAAAAAATGTGTTACATAAATCTAAAGGACGATTGGAATAATGAAGGATGCTTTCCAGATACTAGGCAAAGTATTAAAAAATAAGAAAATTGTTAGAAGCAAAATGTGTTGAACTGTTATGTCATATCTAATCTTCTATATGGCAGTGAATGCTGGACAATTTCCAAAGCTGAGAGAGACTCAAAGTGACTGTTATAGTTCTACAGGCGAATGCAGAGAATATCATGGACTGAATATGTGAGCCATGAGGAAGTTTTAAGGAAAATAGGAGCTAAAAGGACACTTATACTTAGTCAGAAAGACAGCTGAAATTTCTGGGATACATAATGAGGAAAGAGGGATTGGGGAATTTAACACTCACATGACATATTGAAGGCAAGATAGGTAGAGGGGAAACAAGTAACCCACCTAATGAGATGTGTGAGTGGATGGTAAAGCAGGGACAAAGAGGCATGTCAGAGCTAAAAAAAACAAGAAGTTGTGGACAACCATGATCTCCCATGTCCTGAAGAAACACACCACGTAAAAAAAAAAAAGACTGTAAACTAGTGTTTATAATGTAAAACGTTGTATTAATTTATGTCACTTTGGGATTGAGGGTTTTAGAAGTTCAATTCTTCCAGCAATTGAGAAGTTAGATAAAGGTGTTTTTTTTCTTTCTTTCAAGGATTCTAGATTCAAAAGGATGCATTTATTTATTGCATTCCACAAGTGATCAGTGAAAAATAAAATTGACAAAGATTATTGTTTAAGGTTGACGGACACGCATGTCTTAATTAGTTTTTTTTTTGTTTTTGTTTTGTTTTTTTACGAATTGGTCAAACTCAAACAAAAACATTGTTTTCAATCGTTATGAGTCTACCAATTGAATAGAATTTTATTATAAACAATTGTATTGTAAATGGAATTTTTAAAGCATTCTGAATGTAAAAATAAAAGAAAAAGTGTGCAAGACAATAAGAAACACTACCTGCAAAAAAAAAAAGTGAAGTTTTATTGAAATCGGTTGAAAAATGTAGAAATCCGATCCCATATATAAACGAACACACACACACACACAAACAACCTGGGTTTTATAAGTATAACTTGATATGAGTTGTCCCCCTTTCATTCTCGCGATTCCTCTTAATCGTGTTTTCAAATTGATTTTGTACAAAAACAATTGTGTTTTTCAATTTTGGCACTGTCAGAACCACCACAAGGTAATTTTACGTAGTCCTGTGAAGTTTTGTTGAAATCGGTTGAAAAATGTAGAAATCCAATCCAATATATAAACGTACAGACATACACACACACACATACACAACCTGGGTTTTTATAATAAGTATGATTACTAATCTTTGATTTATGAACTATATTTTAATGGTAAGAGTTAATGACAGTATAGCAATAATATAAACAATAATATAAACAATAATGTAAAATTAATTAATATACATTACAAATGAGATCAGAGGCATTAAATTTACATGGTTTCAAAGATACAGTTCATACTAAACACTACCAAAATGACCTAATGGTCTTTGGGTTAAGTGATTTATGAAATGCTAAGATATTTAAACTAACAAGGCTTTAGAGATTTTAAAAACACTAAACTAGGTAAGATACGAAAGGTGCTTTTTACTTGATCAGTACTAAATGAGGGAATATTTGAAAATAGCAGTTGCTGTAAGAACAAAACTGCTTCAAAAAATGTTCTCTTTTAGATGTGGTTGTCAATGTAATCACATCAGCTTAAACAGAAATTTATATTGTGAGCTTTAAGAAAAAAAAAATTCTCTTTTCATTTAATTTGCCAACAAATTTTAATATATTTCTCAAATTTCATTTTTTTGACCTGTTAAAGAAGTTTTATTTACTAAATGTAAAAATTTTTATGTAATAAAAATGTATCTTTTGATAACATTCTCAAATTTTTCAATTTCAAAGTAGTGACATTTTTTTTTTTTAAATAATTAAGTTTAATTATTTTATAGAAGAAAGCAATTACAGTTTAAAAACATTACATTTAAAAATTATCTCCATACTGAATTTTTAATGACAGATTTTTATGCAAACTTCACCTAAAGGCTTTAATAAAACCAATGAAAATGGTTGTATACTCTAAATACAGGGCATTAAATAAATAACTTTATCTAATGTGACTTCAGTGGTAAATCCAGCTTTACTAGTAGCGTTACAAAAAAAAACAAAAAAACTATCTTATTACTAACCTTTGGTTACCCTGAGATGAAGGTGATGACGAAGATGATGAGACACCGGCAACAGCTGTAGCAGCAACAGTTCGGGGTTTGGGAGATGCCAACTTCAACAGGTTATTCCATTCCATTTTCCATTCTTCTTCAGAAAATATAAGGCCCGACTATAAAGAAAAATATACCACGAAGAAGCAAATATTAGCATTTAATATAAGCAAATACAATATAAATTAAAGTTTGAAGATCTCTGATTATCATTGACATTGATGAAAATCACGAGTAGTCTCCCCTGGGAGAGCTTAAGTTAGCTGTTTTGCAGATTTAAATGTGGCGAACATCATGGACACATGAGTAACGACAAATGTTTAGAGAAAAATGGAAACAAAAACAGCAATTATATGTAGCCTCAGAAAGAGACAGTTGAAATTTCTTGAGCACATGAGGGCATGGAAGATTTGACAGTCACACGACATTGTAGGCAAGGGAACAGGAAATCAATGCATAACCTACTTAACAAGCTTGTGCAAATGGTTGGCAGAACAGGGATTAGGTGATATAGCAAAAGGACAAACCTTACTAAGAGCTAGAAAGGATAGAAATGGCATGCATCTGTTTTTGATTTTAAATCAGTGAAGAATTTTCCAAAGTAAAAAAAAATTAGAGGGGAAAAGGATCAAGGAACAAACAAGGTCTCATTGGTGCTGTTGAATATGATGCTTTCAAATAGGTTTACATATTACTATTTTTAAATGTCAATTACTGTAGAAACTGAACATACAATCCAATGTTTGGCAAAACTGAATGCAAATCTGAAAAGTTCATGCAATTTAAAATAACTTTATTCCAAACTCCAAACAAAGGCAAAAAAAATGTTTGTTATAGCATCAACTTAATAAACACTGTTTTCTTTTTTCATATAAAATTAAATTCATCTATATATATATATATATATAGTTTAATGATAGTCCCAACATATCCAAATTACATGCATGTGGATATAATACAATGGATGTAATGCCACTTATTTATTTCCATGGAAATACAGGGATCACAATAGCACCATTGGATAGTGGAAGTTTTCTGCTATAAAACATTAATTTTCCACTTTTCATGTCAGGAATATGTTGACTGCATAATCTATATTTCATCAGCTTTAATGTGGCTTATCACACATTTTACTGTCACCTTGAGCAAGATGCATTACCCATTGCCTAACTTTGCTTTCAGCCACTATTTGGTCTGTGGAAACATTCAGAAAGCATTCAGGAATGTCAATAGGGTGCAATTTCTTTTCTTACATAGAGGAATTCAATGAGATACTATTTTTTTTTACACTCTCTCATTTGCTATTTCTAACAAGGCAAAAAAAAAGTTTCTGATTTATTAATGAAAGCTCAACCGGGACTGCTGTATTTAACATCCATGATTTGACCAATCATGGATATCAACATAATAAAAAAATTACTTTTTGAATAACCATGATCTATTACTTTATTCATCATAATTATTGCCAATTTCGACAAAACAAATAAGCGACATCAGTCTGTTTCCTGGGTCACTGAAATAAAATGGTGTAAAAAATGCGGGAAGTAATCTATGCACATTTGAAATTTTTTATTTAGAATAGAGAATGGAACATGGAAAGATGAGGCAAGCTAACAAAAAAATTATTTTATCTATTTCCAAAGTAATTTTTAACTCGATTTGAGATTTAATGATTAAAAGAAATTTACTGAAATTATTTTTTGCCCTATATAGATAACATGGAGAATCATAATTTTAAGTTTCTGCATTTTTCTTACTTTCATTTGCAGGTTCTTATAATTTGACAGTTTTTGAAATTTTTTTTCATTATTATTATTATTAGCTACTTTTAATTTTTCTATTTATAAGAATGCCTAATAAAAGGACTCATGCACTACTAATATGCATTATATGTAACTTGCATAAATTATAGTAGACTACATATCATTCTTACAATGTGGTAATAGGGAAATCATTTTGCAGAATTCAACAGTATAAACATTATTGCAATTGGGTATATTGAATCTCAGAAATATGTTAAAATTATAATTACTGGATAGGCAGAAACTTTACAAATGTTTCGCACTAAATACTGAAAACTATGTTTTATTTTACTAAAGTTATAAAACAATATAAATGACAAATTTTTGTTTCATGTTTGAAGCTGATCTTAATTGTTAAATGCCATTTGTTTTTGAAAAATGTTGCATTTCTTTATATGAAATAAAAATTCCAGAATACAATATTCAAATTGATCTTAGTGGATGACAATTTTCTTAACAAAAGAAATTTTTTCAATCAGGTTATGACTGAAAACAAGGCAGCCATTTCATCAAACAAATGCCTTAGAAACTCATTTTATTTAGGCCTTCATTAGTTTTCTTTGCCTACTTTGATGGAGCCATTGCTGTGCATAAAAATTTATTTTCTGAAAGCATTTGGCCTCTTGAAATATAGTGCCCATGTGTGCATTCAAAAAAAAAAAAAATCAATGTGTGCCTGTGCTGTAATCTCATCTCTAAATCACCATGGATCCATCAGTTTCAACTTGTGAAGATGGTTTCTACCAGTAGTCATACCATCTTTGTGTTATCTATTTGGTCCATCAAGGATTATTCAAGATTAATCAGTGAAAAGAACAGTTGGAAAAAAAAAAAAAAGTTTTCATATAGTGTCAATTTCATTCTATTTTCCTTTAAATCATTTAAAGGAAGTCAAGTCTCACATGTTTTGAAACTTGATTTAGAATCCAATTTTTTTTTTTTTTTTGCTTTCCTAAAATTACTAAAGTAAAAAAAAAATTAAATGATAGTGAACCACAAATCTTTTTGAAAAAGTTTTAACTCAAATATAGATTAGACAAGAGGTTTTTTCAACTTATCCTTAATGGACTCTCATCATCAATAAATTGGGATTTCTGGATTTGATTATTTTTTTTTTTCTGTTTTTTTATTCTTTTAATTTATCAAGCTTGGAAGTTATTATTTTCTTACCATTAATAATTGATTCAGTCCATTTTTATTTAAAAAAGGATTTTTCCTATTTAATAACTGCCATTTATTTAAATTAGTTTATAATGAACCTGCTTTAAATTTTAACTGCATAAATAGATGTTTCTATAAAAAAAACTCAATGAAAACCTTTAATTAAATATAAGTTTATATATTAATGAAACACAAAAATGGTTAATGCAATAAATTGTATTATATGTAACCCAATATGTTTTTATTATAAAAGCCGAAAAAACAACAGTCTCGAAATATAGTTGGGATAACAACAAAGATGAGGATAATAGTCTGTGTAAATGATAACTCATCACAGAAAATATGTAAAAGCATATTTTTTTTTTTTTTTTTTTAAATAAGGTGATTACAATACTGTTAATAAATTATGCTAAGTCCACTTTACACTTCTCTCATTCATATTAGCAATTAATAATATTCTAATCTTGAATAAAAATAATTTATTCTATCTGAATAAAAAAGTTTAATTTTATCCAAATAAATACATAATAAATAGAAATTGATTTGAGAATGTTATCTTGACAGTGTATTCTAAAGCTCTATTTCTTTATTCTTATTTGCAATAGTCTTTGATCAAGGAAATTGTATCAGCTCTTTTTCTCTAAACAAAATAAAAGTTGGCATGATTGTTAGAACCTTAAGAGTTGTACAATAAATTTCAACCATAATTTGAAAAACTTGAAATGCTCAAAAATAGTGGTTTAACCAAATTCTACATAAAATTTCTTAAAATGTACATGTTATGTACAAATAAGGATTCTTTATTCTTCATAATGTTGTTTCTTTAAGATATTTTGATAGTGACTGCTGTAACTTAGTGTTTTTTGGGGTTTTTTTTTTATGTGTTCTTCAAACAGGGAATAATAAAAAGTCAGGCTCTCTGAGTGGTGAACAATTTTTCAGAGGACACCAACCCATGATAAAACTTATCAAACCACTGGCTCAAAAAATTATCACAGTAAATCCTAATCTCTCTCAACTCTTCCAAATAAAGAAAACACCAAAGTTTATGCATTGGATCATCATGTAAGTGTCTCAAACTTTTACTTTTCTAATTAAATGACCATTTTATATTCAATTGTATCAAACACATATCACATTCAGTTGCTCTATTTTTTCATTATAATCCATGTTGAATAGTTCAATAGAATTTGATTGGCAATAAACAGCCTAAAAGAAATTCCATTATTGCATTGTCTTTGCAATCATGTGCAAATATAACATACATAAAATATCTCGCAGATTGATGTATTTTGAAATTTTAGTATTAGAAATAAAGAAAATCCTTTTTATATATTAATTGCAATTTTGTATTTATTGCATGTTTTGTGGATTTACCTTTATACAGTTGTCAGTAATTTCTGTTTAACTGAAATCATTGTATTCACTTTTGCTTCATAAGTAAAATAATACATAAAGCATTTTTCTAAAATCTTTTACAAATTTGGAAGCTTTTTTGAAAGAATTTAAAGTTTCATTTCATAATTATATAAATATTTTCTATTCAATGGAAATTATCATCCAAGAGAATTTTTCACCCCAAAACTTTTTTAGTGGAAAAACAAGTTGCTGTACATACATTCTCATGTCTGTAGTGTGTATTTTGAGTGAAAATATTTAATTATATCATGTATCTGGCAAACTCTTAAAACAGTCAACAAGTCATAACTTAGTCCATATTTAGCATCTCTTCCTTCCTTCCTTTTTTTTTTTTTTTTTTTTATCATCATTAGAGTTTATCATTGAAATACTGTGTTTTATTTCTTAGGGAAATACCAACAGCTGAAGAAAATAAAAAATGACTTTAGTGGATTGATAGTAAATCAGAAGTTTCATTTCGTAATAGAAAAACATCAGGTAATAATGTGATTTAGTAAGGTCAAAGTGATGAGTCTTCAGAGAATGAAAGCAAGTCAATTCTCAATGCTTAGCAATGGTGTAAAATTAAACTAATTATTATCCTACCTTGCCATGCTCCACATGTGAAAACTGATATCATTGATGAAATGAGTCTTGGTTTCTTTTTCTTCTTATTTTGAAGATGATATTTATTTGCCACACAAATGGGTGTTATCAATTTGAAAACTGTATCATGTATAGAATTACCAATGAGCTTTTTTGTTGTTGCTTGTTTTTATACAATGAAAATTTCTTGGATGATCTGTCACAAGATAATCCACAGGGTGTTATTTTCTGTATGATGGACTCCATACATGTACCATATACACCAGCTGGATGTATTCCATAACAGCTGTCTGCGTGCCATCTGTAGAGTTGTCCTTCAAGACAGGATATCCAATGTAGACCTGTTTAACAGGCGTAATATTGGAGGAATCAAGACTTTTCTCATACAGTCTCAGTTACGATGGACTGGTCATGTTTTGAGAATGTCTGATGACAGAATACCCAAGATCCTAATGTATGGCCAGTTAGATCAGGGCTACAGGAATGCAGGATGCCCATTGCTTAGATACAAAGACAAGCTGAAAAGCAACTTGTTGGCTGTCAATATACCTTATAAGACCCTCAAGCACTTAGGCTTGGAGCGGGTAGAGTGGAGATCAACATGTAATAGTGGACTCTGTAGTTTTCAATCTACTAGTCTTCAAGAAGTGAGAGCAAGATCTAAAAGGTCAGCCAATCTAACAGTGACCTCATCCCACAATCCTCACTTTTGCTCCATATGCAGTCTCTTTTGCAAATCACTAGCAGGTCTTAAGTGACATTTAAGATTATCGCACAAAATTCATGACTGAATCAATTGGTTAAGTTGTCAGATCCTAATATGTTGAAATTGACGAGAGAGTATATATATATATATATATATATATATATATATATATATAGAGAGAGAGAGAGCTTAGGATAATCATTTTCAGTCCATAACTCTATAAGTTGGGGAGAGGGAAATTATATATGCATATATACACGCACACACACACACTCCTGCTTACAGTTTTAATCTTATCAGGATAATGTTTTGTTCAACCTCTCCACCTTTTAATAGAATTTCTTTAAAAAAAAAAATTAAACCATAAAATTTTTCCTTAATATATTAACCAATAAATATCAAACTTTTGGGATTCTCTATAAGATGAAAAGATTACACTTCAATCAAATTACTTACTTCTTTATTTATCAGTGTCTGTTGCCATCTCCAACGTCTATACAGTGCTCCACGGTATGTCTCTTTTGTCATCGTGTCATAAAGAGCTTTACGAAGTATCAAATCTCTATCATGCACACCCCACATAGCTGTAAAATAAATACAATATTATAAACCATAATTGATAAAAACAAAGAACAGGTCAAATAGAATCTGGAAATAAAGTTTAAAACAGTCATGCTTCTATAGATCTTTCCTCCTTGAATACTTACCAACAGAAAAATCAAGAATATAACTTTAGACTTTTCAATACATGTAATACTTTGTTTTAAACAAGTTATATATCATGACTGAAAACACATACTAGATATTACTCAAACAGTAGAGAACTTCTATTAATTTTCTGTTTTGTTATCATTAATGGTTCTTACATTTAACAGCTGTTATTGCTAGTCTCCTTTTTTATAATCATAAACCTCCTTTTAACTTGGTTTATTTTAATTTACTGTATATATTTATCATAAATCTATATTAGACAATATTTCATAGTCATCAATAAAACAAGACCTGGGAGTGGGATTCCTCTCACCAAATGTCTTTTTGCCTAATTTTAGTGTACTAATTCTTACAACATAAACCAATCATGGAACACATTTCCAACACTTGATACTATTTCACCTCCCATTGTAGATATTGGTCAAGCAAAAGGACTTTTAGTATAAATCATAAAAGAAGAAATTTTTTTTAATTTATGACTTTTCCATTCTGGAAATTAGTCTCTTCCACAAATTGAGTATTTTAAATTTACATAAATACATCAGCATCTCAACCTTTTGGCTTGAGTGTTACACCTTAACTCAAGCAATATCTTTCCCTTAGGAGGGGTCTAGAGTCATTACCTGAGGTGCCCCCAAAAGGGGGAAAGTACTGAGAGTACTTGGCTACTTTTGGACAGAATGATCTTGCATGAGATCTCTACTTTAAACTCTGCCTTGTGCCACATTTTGTGTGTGTACAGATAGATAACCTTTTACTCATGGCCCATTGACTTAAAGACCCCCCAACACACACACACACACACACACACACACACACACTCTCACTCTCAAAGCACTCCAACGATGGACCAGGATGAAATAATTTTACATATCAAAACAGATCAAATTTAATCAACTATAGACATGTTGCATCAGTAACTTTTTGTACACCACAAATTCTATACCTAGAGACACTAGTTTCAATGACTGAACAAGAATAATATTGTTGTAAAAAAAAAAAAAAAAAAATTTGTGTAAAATCTATTTTAAGAGGAAAGATGTTGTAAATGATGAAAATTGAGAAGGTCCAAAAATCTCGGTCAGAGAATTTGCAAAAGAGTTGAATGGGTCAAGTGTAACCATCTCAAATCTGTTTAGCAAGAACAACAAGCTTAATAAATTGAATAAAGTGCATACACCAAGCATAGGGATGTTCTATTTAATCATGTCCAGCGTTATGAAGTTCATTTTTTGCATTATCATCATCATCATCATCATCAATTGAGATGAAAAATGTGTAAAATAAGAAAATGTGCACAATATGAATAAACATCAGAATTGTTTGTTTAGAAGGGTTTCTTGGTCAGGCTGAGAACTTTTCATCAGCTTCTTATATATTAGCAAAATAATTTTTGTACAAGCTATTTCAAAAAACAAAGCTTTAATGCATCACTTGCATTCTCTCTCATACTCTCTTTTATTTGCCATACTTCTTTTTTATGTTTCTCCATTTACTTTATCTGTGAATTGCTATGACTAATTGGGAAAGATAGTGAAGTGATTTCCCATTATCTTCTCCATAGTTATAAATTCAGAAAGTCCTTCTAGATTGACTTCCATTTAAGGCTAGAGAACCCAGTTTACCCTACTGTTTAATTCAG